AATTCGTCAATCTGTCAACCAACAACATGTTTATTTACACTATCTATGTATTGCTGCACAGTGGAGCGAGTGAATATGATTTAAAAATATTTGTATTAATTGTATGAAATTTTCTCAAATCGGGAAAAGGAATGTGTTAAAAAAATTTACTTCTATTTTCTTAAACATTAGAAATAAAACTAAAAATATTAATATATTAAATTTTCACAAAATTTTGTATATCAATAAAAAAATTTATAAGTATTTGATTTTATCCCTACAAAAAATTTTGTAGTTGCTTTTACTATTTCACTTCAGAATCAATAATTTAAAAAATGTTACTAAATAATATATAAATTATTTTTCTTTACCTTAAAATTAATATACACATGTATATTGCATACTATTATTATTTAATTCTCATATGATTATATGGTTACTTATCCACCGTAGCAATTTATTTACAAATATTTATTTTATTATTTACAAAAAAACTTCACTTAAAAAATTTGAAAAACTAGAATAACTTAAAAAAGTTAAATTGGACTTAATATGCTACAATTCATAATAATAATTGAAAATTTCTTCCACAACTATGTGGATCAACAATATTGAGTAATTTCGTACAGCCTATGGAAATCATCGGTAATTACCAAATACGAATTAGAATTTCCGAAGTACCAAGTATTTTACAATTTTGGAAGCACTTTTAGTCATTTTAATAATTGTCCATATTAAAAATCAAATTTCTACAAAGAACTGTTTAATTATTTATTTTACTAAAATATCATCGGGCGTTGTTGTTTCAATAATTGAAAGCGTTATTTTGTTATACTTGTATGACCACTTTTTTGTGAATAAATGTGCCTAAATGTAGGCAATGTTTCTTTACATCTTTATCGGGTTTTTTTGAGTAAATGTAAAGCGTTGCCTACATTTAGGATGATGTTAATGTTTGGAGACAATATTTTTCCGGTTTTTATTTTGAGTAAAATGTAAAATGTACAATGCATACAGCATCAGTTGATTAGCAGGAATAAACTATTTATATATATTTAATTAGAAATTGAAAGAAACCTAAAAAAAATATAATATTTAAACAAAGATTCAAGCAACAAATAAATATAGTGATCGAGGAGATTTGTATTTGACAAAAACTAGGAGGACTCTTTCAGATCCGCAAGGTAATCGAAATATATGAAACATTTAAATAACAAACATGGTTTGTACTTGATTAATAGTTCATAGATAAAAATAAATAATTACTGAGCAAAATTTTTCATAAATCAAACATACATGTGTATCAATTAACACAAATTTCAGATTTACAAATTTTTAAATTACCTTAATAGGGTCAGACATTTAATTTAGATTAATTAAAATTCTGCATACAACTGTTAGAACTGATTTTTGGACTTAATGCAAATTCATATTTTTTGGTCAAAATAAAAGTGGTGTAGTAAAAAAAGTCTCAGAACAATTTATCACATTTATCTTCCCCACCGTGCGTTGTTGCAGCTGTTATATTCTCCGAATTTTTATTTATTTTTTTATGTTTTCATTCTCGAATTTATGGTCTAAAAGTTCATTCAATGTGCTGGCATTCAAACACACAAACAGGCGCAGAGCAGCTGCCGATCGCATCTTTTATTGTCAGAAAATATTAATAAATGTAAAGTTATGAGAGCAAGCAGTCAAATAGAGAGGCAAATGGCCAACAAACGGCAAACAGCAAAGTACACACATCAATTCGCGCCAGATGAGCAGCTGAAGAGCCATGCACACGCACATGCTCGATTTGTGTATGGAGAATAAAGGCACTAGATGGAATCAAGTACAATACATGAGAGTGGCGATTGAGTGCGAATGAACACGCTGAAAGCTGGAGAATTGAAGTGTTTTCTTGCAAATGACGCAGTTTGTCCCATTTTATTTGTTTATCCATTCGAAGAGTCAACAGTGGAGTTCATGTCGATTACAGCCGCGTCTTTTCATTGACCTTGTTTCTTAAGTTTTTTTCATATTTTTGACATTACTCTTACAGCAGTTTATTGTTTTCTTTCATTTTGGCAAATAAAAATGAAAGGAATATTGAAATAAGGAAATTATATCGAATATTTAAGTGGATCGAGAGACAATGGAGATTGAAGCCATTGACGCACACGCAACGAATCCATTATTATTCTCGCGTAAGTGTTTCAGTTTTTTAACAATTCCTGATTTTTGTAAATATCTACATACTCATGTGTGTATTTATATAAAACCAATCACTTTTTTTTTTAACAAATAAAAGAAATTTCACATTTTCTGAATGTACAATAAAATGGCCATGTTGCTATTCATTTTTGAACCTTTTGATACAATTACTACAACGAAGAGCTTTCAAATTTTAAATAGGAAAAGAATAAGTTTTGAGATGTTATATGTGCTAGGTATACAAAAAGCAAAACAAATATCCTCACCATAATAGTAATTGTAGGCTACATTTAGGCGCATCGCGAAGTAACAATAGAATTAATCTTAGAAAAAACTCACTAAATTGTTAAATTCAGCACTAACTTTTTCTGAACATAGTCAAATAAATTTTTCTGTTCGTATTGGAGATATACTGAATTGTAATATTTCCACGCCGCCATAATGACGTTTAGCGAAATCCTATAAAGAGCTAAAACTAAGCTCCAAGTTAAGATACAAAACTGTAATTTGGTACATGATATTAAAATATGGATGAGCATCTGTGTTTTTAAATTTTTAAAACTTAGGCATGACCCCGCCATTTAATAGACTTAAAGTATATATCTCACCAACAACTAAAGCTAAGTCAACAAATTTTGCTAGGAACCAGTCTTTATTGCTACTCTTTATGCACTGCAGAAATTGATAACATCAGTTGATAACCACGCCCACTCCCTTTATAACTGTTATCTTGAAAAATTATGAAAACAAAACTAAATATGTTAATACATTAGAAGGATTAAATTTCATACCCGTAATATAATGGTATAAAACTTATAAATTGGGCATCGCCCATATTTAGGCGAAATTTATTGTCTCAGGTGTATCAATCAAAGTTGGTGCAAAATATTACCCTTTCATTATTATATTTCGGTGTGAAAATCGGACATCTGGTTTTTCCACTTTACACTATATAACAAGTCAAGCACCAATGAAGGCATTGAAACAAAAGTTTACACAAAAAGTGCTTTCAAGGTATGCCATTCCGTTTCTCAACCAAAAATGGCCGAATGCTGACTATAGATTTTCAAGTCCTCAAATACCAAATATGGTATATGTGCCTATTTTTGACTTTATAGCGAAAATATCAGACAATCTGTGAGATAAATTTATTAAAGACGTCAGAAAGCATATTTTCCTGATAATAATGTGCCTTTTCCTTAAAAATGATAAAATAAGGTCAATAGTTTCACAACGCACATATACTTAAATAAAAGATGTTCAAACTTTCGATTGACTGTCAGTATGTGAGTTACCTTAATGCAACTCCGAGAGCGTATTTTTTGGTAACAACGGTAACAACAATTTGGAGGGCCAAAAATAGTTAAAATCGCGTCAATAATACGACTAGCCGTCATATACCTAATATAAATGAATAATAACGAAGTGTTAGTGTCATTTCTTCGTAACATTTCTTAATGTAAAGCTATACCTTTATGTAAAGCTTTATGCTTTTTATTTAGTTTTTAAGAGAAATTCGTTGAAACATATTTTTCAATGAATATATTTTAATAAAACAATATTCATTTACTACAGTTGCTAACAAAACACAAATGCTGTAGGAAAATCATAAAACCTCCAAAAAGTATTTCGATTGCTTAGTATTCTTGTATAAGGACTACATTTATGTCTGTATGTGTATGCATTTACGGCTATTCTACACAGTAATGGTGACCTAATTTCTTGCATTCACCCATTCAACCATTCGCCTAGACGTTCGTTTTTATCTGGCGATTGACATTTTCCAGACGAATTGTCGTCATTGCCCTAAGAAAGTATATAAATTAACAAAAACACGCACACAAAGCACACACATATATGTATGTATATATGTACATAGTCACTGCAAGCAAGGAAAGAAAGTGAAATGGCGCGTGAGTTTCTTTTCCATAATAGATAGCCGTTAGTACTTGCAAATAAAAAGCTCGCGTATGTATGTGTGTATTTGTGTGCGAAAGTGTGAGGGCGCTTTATAATAGGCAAAAATCGATTTAAGCCTTCAACCTGTCATTTCGCTGGCATTCCGCTTAATGTAGTGTCATTTTGTCATTCCGCGTGTGTGACCGAAAGCCAACCTACCCTTACACACACACAGCAGATCTAAAGCACGCAAGCATTCGCCTATGATTATTAGTTTTTGTCGTGGCTAACCAATTGAATTGATTTTCTGTTAAATGTGACTCGTTTCATTTTCATTGGCGTCATAGAAATTCCACAAACGACCAGTTCACAGTTCAGATCAGTAACCCTTCATCGTGGCATAAGTCACCCGAAACCGCAGCGAACGCACCAAAATATTCATTTCAGCCACCTTCAACTAATATTTATAAGTAGTACGTGTCCATTTCATTCGTCCACGGCAGATTTCCATTTGCCAACACAGACACACATACATATTTACGGGCTTATATTCAGCTTTTTTAGTAGCGCTTGACAATAATTTCTGCAAATGTCGCTTGTCACAGTGCTCGATAAACAATAAATTGGCTTGACCTTCAAGCAGAGGTCAACCGGTTTTTTGTTGTAGCTTATTACTAACGGCAAACACGAAGAATTCTATAATTTCTATGCATAGTGAAGAGGCATATTTATAATTAATTTTCGAGATTTGATATACAATATATTATCCAAGCATATACATATACATATATAAGTATATGAGCATGTATGTTACAAATCTGCTGATAGGCTCACTAGCAGTCCTTCAGATGTGTTTAGTAAATGAATTGCGTTTGATTTTAGTCAATGAATAGCCCGGCGCTTTCGGGGGTCATTAATAGTGTTACCTGCGTGGAGAGTGGCGGCAGCACCGATGCATCATGACAGTTCGGACACCAATAAACCATTTGTATTATTTATTTGTGATTAATCACTGTGTGGCTTGTGATTGTTGATAATTAGGCAAATTAACATTTTTTTTTCGTTATTATCTGTAGTGCTTCCGTGCGTATTGTTACGTGTTATTAGCAAATGTAATAAAATAAATTAATAAAAATTTCTCAAAAGAAATTGCAATAACATAAAAATAGTATGCTAGTGATATTTATTTATATTATATAATAAGCTAATATTATTCGTAACATAGACATATGTTTACTAAAGGTAATTTATTTTATGCACATTGTTACTCAAATTCTACAATAATATAAAATGGTAAACTAACCGGTTTAGACAGAAATCGAATAACTCTTGGTCGTAAAACTATATTATTGATATCACTTAAAGTATTTGTGGTGGAATATCTTATGATCTGACTTTTATTCGCCTAGCACTCCGAGTTCTCAGCTAAGCTCTGAAAATAATTCAGTGGTCGAATGTCAGACAGGCATTACGAGTATTAATTAGTTAATTGTCGTTGCAGAGAATACCGTGTCTTCGAAAAGTTGATGTACAGTAATCAACGGAATACTATCTCTTTTAAATGGGACTTCGTTGAAATCAAAGTGGTTGGTTACCTCGCTTACAAAATTACTATATTTCTTGTGGATATTCACTCTTTTGTTATTTTAACTATACTGTTGGATCAAAGTAGTTTTTCTTCTTCCATTTTTTTCCATTAAAACCATTTCTGGAGCACAAACGAAGTACAATCAAGTACCGATGCGAAGTGATTGAATTCGCCCACAATTTGATATAGTTTAAAGACTGTTTTAAACAAAGCAAATGTAGATATATTTTTGAAAATTTATAGATTAAGGAATGGCAAGTTTGATGCGAGAAAACAACTTGAATATACTTAAATGTTGGCAAAAATTTAGTAACAAATCTGAGCGGCACGAAATTACTAGCTTTACGCTTTGAAATACTTAGAATAGAATAGAATAGAAGTGCCCTCCCCTAAGTCACAACGACTCACTTAGCCCCCAATTGCTGTGCAGTCTATTGACAGGAGTTTCCGGCTCCACTTCACAGAAATACCTAACAAGTACGAAACAATTGTTGGAAAAAGTTCGCATGACAGGGTTGGTAATGGACGCTACTTTTGGCCTTCACCGTCTGTGATTAAATCTTAGAATATTGATTTTTTACCAAAAAAGTACACAATCAGTTACCATTCAGCTTAATCGCGGATAGAAAACCTGCTCGCCATCTGCACTACAGAATTAAAAACGAGAAAAAATTAAAAATAGACGATCATTGGCTTTAAAACCCACATCCTTCTTTTTACTTTGCTACCTTATACTTTGACTTTTTGTGAAATCTTTACAGTATCTTTCTTTTAAGTCCTTGAGTGAAATATGAAGCGTCCACCTAGAATTCTGAATGCTGGCTCATTGAGGTGCATTATCGTAATGTGAACACATATTGAAATCAGTTGCATAAATAAGGCAAATGTTATCGAATTCACTATACCGTACACTCTTTATATTAAAAGTTAATGTAAATAAAAAATTAGAGGGGTGTTCACATTTGAAATTTCTAAGGCGACAGTTTCTTAATCTTTTGCTTTTCTGCAGACTGTATCATGTCTTCTGGTCTGTTACTAACCTGAATAAGTTGCACATATAAATTCTACAGTCCGCCATTCAGAGTCGGTATAAAGCCTTGTCACATAAGATCAATGGGTACTGCATATAAAAACTTGAACAAATATTTAACAAAAGTTTATATTCAGCAAAGAACACAGTTCCAATTCCAAAAAAAATTAGTCTCAATGTACAAATTTTGATACCTACCATCTGATCAAATTTTACCCGGACAGCGCCGTTCTTTAATTGGCGAAAATCGTCAGACAAATTTGTCGCATTGTAAACAAACAACTACCAAACACACACTAATTGATATATGGAGATCAAACTTCACACGAACATAAATAAATCTAAAAAAATATCTTATCGGTTCGATAATGCTAGTGTCGGCGTCAAATTTGATCAGATGATAAAATGATAAAAATATTACAATTTAATAATTAAATATGAAATCCAAATAGAAACTTGATATTTAATTTTCAATGGTTAAAGATGCAATACAAAACAGTTTGTAATTCAGAAATCAGTCACTGTTTCATAATTTCTCACCAATATTGATTAAGGTTAGTGCCAAAAGTTATTCGAATTCTGACTTTTTCGGTGTGTTAATAACTATAATATACCTTACCACTTATCTTAGAGTCAATTCACTTACCTAGTCCTAATACAGGCAAAACCACCGAGGCACGCCAGCGTTGCCAACATTCACACTATGAAATTTTGCATGTTTCAGCAGTAGCGGTTCTTTGTTTTGCAGCTTGCGCGCCTGCGCAAAAGTATTACAAACATGCACTTATATCATCGCAACCGAAACTTTACCTAATTGCAATTGCCGCAACTGAAGAGTGCGTGTGTTAAAATGTCTTGCAAATACAAATGATCGCTTAGATGAGCGTTAATTGCCGAAATTTGCTGATATTCACTGATATTTGTTGATATTTTACGGTTAGCTAATGAACACGCAACGATATCTTTGCACATTAAGTTAATTTGGTTATATTGTAAACACATACATACATATACTATATATATATATATATTTGTAATAGGTATGAGTAGTAGTAGAAGTAGTATATATGTATTTGGTTTAGAATTTATTTAAACGACAAGCGCGAGTTGAAGAACTTTATACGCGTGGATAAATATTTAAGAATATTTTTGTAAACATTTTGCTTTGCTATTTGTATTGCTATAAATTGGTATTTTTATTTTAACTATTTTTTATTTTTGTTATAATTCTTATACGCACCGCGATTTAATTGTGCGTACTTTTACACTGTAATCTTTGTTGTTGTTGCTATGAACTTTGCTGCAGAATTCCTTCGAAGCTTCTCAGCACTGCTTGTAAACGCTTGCAAATAGTCAAAATGATTTTTATTTTCTTTAATTTTAAAAACTTTTCCACTGATATTCGTACGCACACACTGTTTCTATGTTTCTTTATTGTTGTTAGTGTATTATACTCTCATTTTCTTGTTGAAACGCAGTCAGCTTGATTTTAAAAATTTTCGTTGATTTTTTCCAGCGCTGAAAATGACAATAAAAACAAAAAAAATAGTTAGTAATCGGAAAATCGACATTTTATATTATGCCATCAAACCATTCTCCTCTTTTAATATGCGCTTCGTCCAACTCTTGTTTATTAAGCATTCACTTATTGTTTTTGGTTTACTGCGCCCTAATTACATTGTGTTTTCACTTTTTGCCACATTTCAGGTTACTAATCCCTTTTGACATTTCACTTTTACTTTTCTAACGGTATATTTTTTTGCTTCCTTAGTATTTTCCCGCTCGTTCGTTGTGTCTGTCGCACGCTAAAACTGCTACTGTTTCACTGTTTATTCTCGAATTGTTATCCTTTCTCGTTTCGCTGATATTTGCACGTGCACTTCGTTTTTGTTCGTCGCTTAGTTGAGAATTCGTATATTTACTCTACGCTCTCGCCTTAAAGCAAATACGACGGGTTGTGCGCTCACATTCCGAAAAAGCTTTTTTGCGACAACAACAAAAAACTGTCTCTCGAATACATGGAAAGCGAGTAAGGCGCACATGCAAACACACGCACCAGCATGTTATTATAGTTTTGGGAAAATAATGAAGAAATAAAAGGCAGAGCATGTCAAAAAAATGTAAAGTTTAATGAAATTGTAGAAAATATAATCAAGAACATATTTTCCAGGATATATTACTTTAATTACTACTATTTTTTAACACGAACAGTTTTGTAAAGGGAAGTTTTCTTAAGAAAAAAAATAATAGTTAATAAAAATTTGCCAGTTTGCTATTTGTATGCATAAGTTTAGTTTCAAAAAACACTTCTAAATATTTAAATCATTTTTATTTTTATTTCTAGCTAGACTAGCTAGCTGAGCACTGCATCCAAAGCATTATAGTAAAATTATTAAACTTCAAACTCAAATTAATAGTCTCAAAAAGCAATATTTCACTAAACACGCAATAAAAATTTATTTAAAATTATAGTTATAAAAAAATTTATTTCAAATTACGATAGAAGTTCATCATACGCCACGGCAAACTTAAATAGTGTACCCAACACCATGGCGTATTATGAATGTATTAGCAAGATGTTTTGATTTAAAACAAATCCAAAGTAACTGTAATTAATAAAAGCTACATATACATAATTATAAATATACTAACAATATTTAATTTGACATATATTTTTTAAGAAAAGAACGATACAAAACAAGTGTTCATCATACGCCCTGGCATACATAGAAATGTGGAGGAAGAATATACTTTTATATTTTTATTAAATATAAATTCGAAATAAAGTAATATAATGAGTCTTGAGTGCTTAACATTTTCAAAAAACGTTAACGTCATAGAAATGTTCATCACATGCCATGGCTTAAAAAAAAATAATTTTATTTTTTTATTAAAATGTAATTTAAATTGAATTTTATAATAAGTTTTTGGTTTTGAAAAAATTATTATACCGTATGCAATGCATGAAATTAATACGAAATTTTTAAGAAAAGATTTTATTTTAATAATTTTTTAATTCGATAAAATATAATATATCGCGTTTATATTTGCGTCATATTTGCTAGTTGGGTTTTCTACCTTCGGTAAGTATATTTATCATACGCACTGTGGCCCCTTTAACAATAACTTTTATTAAACATTTTCTAAAAGTAATTTGGTAATTAGCAAATTTAAAGAAAATCATAAAATTTTTCCCACTAAATCTTCCCTAAACAAACTAAATTGTTTCGCATATATTTGCACACATACACATATCAAAAAGCATAATATGTACATATATAGGTATGTAACGCTATTTGCATGCATGTTTGTGTCGCGCATTTGATGTGTCGAGGCTGTTCACACGCCGAAACAGAGACACTGCGGCGACGGCGAGTCGGTCGTTGCTTTGTTCACCCTCCAATCTTTCGGTCCGCTGATCGCTCATCCGTTTCCAAGTTCGTACGCTTGTTATTATTCCCAAGGAATGCAAACTAACACATGCAATTGCACGCACATTGCCCCAGTTTCTACGCGCAGCACACACACACACCGTCACACTTTAGCGTGCGAACACTTGTTTACAGAGCTGCTATGTGACCGATATAAAACAGCATGTCACAATGTGTGTTAATATGTATGGAAAAGTACATACATATATAGGAGAGGACATTAGAAAAGCTCAGCCATGTGTTTTTCGGTCATTCTCTCAGTACATCGAGTATTCTAAAGGAGTGAGACAGAAGGTTTGTAAGGCATCCTTGTTGTGGAGTTGTAAACAATTGCGTGAATTTGGAGATTTAATTGATTATTTGAAAAAAAAAATTCAATGATATAAAAACAGTAAATTAAAATACAAAATCCATTATTAATTAATTTTTCTTTTAAAATAAATTAATATTAATATTAAATATTAGACGAAAAAAAACCAAAAAATTAAGGAAAGACACAAACTTATATATTAAAATAAACAAATTAAAGTACTGACAAAAGATTCCAAAAATAAAAAAATTAAGCAAGATTTAGAAAGAGAGATTGAAATTTCAAAACAAATTAGAAAATTATTAAAAGGATATGGTTTGTAAAATTAAAATTTATAATTAGCATTAAAGTGAATATAAAAAAACAACGTTAACTTTAACTGTATCGAAGCTATAATATCGTTTACAGGTGCATTGCTTCTAGCACAAAAGACTATATAAAGATTTTGTCTTGATCTTTATCAGACAGTTTGTATGGCAGCTATAAGATATAGTACTCCGATCTGACAGATGAACAGCATCCTGGCAGTTTCAGACGATATCTCAAAAACTGAGGGACTAGTTCGACATGGCTAAATCGACTCGGCTCGTCACTTTAATCTGGTGGCAAACTTATTGTACAATGTTTAGGGCATACAAATCAGAATTGTTACAAACAAAAAATATCAATAATAAAATATAATTTTAAAAAATTTCTATTTATTAAAAAAATTTAATTTAAAAAAGCTAAACTACTAAATTTTTTTCAATTAAATAAGTGGTTTTAAATTAATTCTAAGCATAAAAAGTTAATTCTAAATATGAAACTAAAAATCAAAAACTGGGAATTTAAAAGCGGAAATTGAAATAAAAAATATATTAAGATTTATTTATAAGTCATAAAAGAAATTAAATAGAAAAGTCTTAAAGTTATATGAAAAAAATGATCAAAAATAAAATTAAAATAATTCATGTGACTCAAAAATTAATAATTTAATTATAATAACGTATCACATGGAAAATGAACAATTTAATCAATAAAATTTACAAGGCTCTAAACATGACTATTTAATCCATTTTGAAATTAGCTATGTTGGCAGAGAAAGTAAAATAACTGTAATTTTATCAACTTTTATTAAACACATATGCATATTAAAGTGTGTTTACATGAAAAACCAGCAACAAATCAGTAATGAAGGAAATAAAAAATGTGGAAGGAACACGTTGAAATTGGATTTCCGTGCTGTGCTGCGCTTGTCACAGCACACCAGCGCGCCTATTGATAATAACAAGCATACAAATAGTACCATGTAGGAAAAAATCAACCTAAAAGTGAAATATGAATTTTAATTTATTTTTTGTATTAATAGTAACATTGTAAAACAAAAGTTGAAATGAAAATTAAAATAATACATAGTATGACAGCCTAAAAGCAGGTGATTTTTTTGGAAATTAAGAAGAAGAAAAAACTAATTTAACAATTGTATTAAAATTAAGCGTAATTTTTACATATCTTTAGAATACACAAAATTGTTTAAGAAAAAATTTATTATTTTTCGAGTTACACGCAATCTTCGATGAAGCTAATAAAAGGTCTTTCACTGCTGCAGTGATTCGGTTCTTCATCGTGAATGATAAAAAAATCTTTATTAGAGGTGGAAAAAATCAAAATTGAAGAAATTTTGTTGGCCGACCAAAATTCGATTTTTATTCAGTTCACAAACTGGTAGGACATTGTATTGACAACTATTTACAGAGCATGCAGAGTAATCCGAGTAATCAGCCAAGCAAATTTGAAAAATTTAGTTTTGAGAAAACCACATTTAAGGATAAACTGAGGAAGCTGATTGAATTGTGCGGCTACGCTTTAGCAAGCAGTAACTCAAACTGTTTGAGATAACGATTTAAAATTTTAGTATATTATATTTAGAGAATAATCTATCGAAATTTGAAAAAAACTTCTATTTTCATTTTCACACTGAGTGTGTCCCTTCATAAAATTTTAAAATATTATATTATATATTTTTAATTAAAAATTTCGTTTGTATTTACATGGAGTATAGAAAATATCGGACTGTCGGACATTCCATTTCCTCACTTGCCTTACAATCCCGCGCAGTTGACAACCTGCTTTCCCAACCTGGTGGCAAGTTAGCGCAGTTGTCGAACTCAATTCGAACGAAACAAGCAAACTGAGTCAAGGAATAAATGCCAGCACACACATACATACAAAAAAAATAAAAAATAAATTACATTGAATGCTGAAGAAGAACCCAACGAGGGGCGAATGAACAAGTATGTGGAATAAAAAAAAAAAACAGAAACGATAATAATAATTTGTAAGCAACTCTCAGGTATTCAGTCACCGAGTAACTGTATAAATATACACATTTGTATGTGTGCAAGGGGCGGTCGGGGCATAAGAAGGTTCGCTATGCATATTACTCGCTATTTATATATGTGTAAGTCTGTAAAAAAGTAACGAGCTTTTTGAACCTATCAATTTATACAAATACACACAAGCATATATGCATACATACATATGTATGTAGCTATGTAACAGTGAATGGACACGCAAATAAGCAGCAGCAGCAGGAGTAACGGCGGTTGAATGGTATTATTGTAGGATGTGCATAGACAAAAGACAAAGAACGATTAGAAAAGGAATGGGATGTATACCAGAAGGCGCTGGCACGTACATACAGACATGTAGGCATAAAATATGAAAGGACGAAACAATAGTTGTTATTAGAAGTGGAAGTATACGGCGAAGTGCTAACAAGCAAGAAGAAGAAGCATAAAAATTAGGTAAGTGGAAAATCAGGCATAATACTTGTAGAAGGGGGAAAAATGTGCATGGATAGCTTCCAAGCGCCAAAATGTGGCACATAGAAGAAGCGTAAATAAAAAATGTTGCTTAGAAACAGTAGTTGTTGAACAGGTGCGCGGTTGTTGGCATTATTCAATCATTATTCAATAATTTTTCTTTATTTTTGGCATTTCTTTGTGGTTATGTGTAAATAAAAAGCTTATTTAAAAAAATTTTAGTTCATTAATTACTTAGCAACAATTTTAATATATTTTAATTTTCTTTTTGTTTTAGCAAATTATGTGCAAATAAAATTATTATTTTCACAAAAAATATTTTTTTTATAAGTAATATTTAACAATTGTATTAAAAAAAAATTTTTATATATATTTTTATTTTTGATATTTTAAATTTTTTAACTTTTTTATGTTTTTATATTCGTTTCAACACAATTCTTACATCAATTGTCTATTTTAAAGCAGCAAAAAAAATATATACATAGAAATGCCTTCACATTGCCAGTTCGTGCAATTAAATGTATTGGCGGTGTCTGCCACACATTTGACGAGCTTCCGTTCGTTCGTCCGCTCGCTCGCTAACACACTCGCCACATTCACTCACTAACACAATTCGTTTCGTTTGCAACGCGCAGCAGGGCACACGATGTTAGCTATATGCGAAGCACGACGTTGGAAAAAAAATATGTGTCCTAGTCACGAAGCCCTAGTACACCCCTGCAAGCTGGCCAACAACCCGACAAACCAATATCAATATGTACACACGAGTATGTTTGTAGAAACATGTAGGCACGCATACCTACACGCTGGCAAATACACACATACCGAAAATTTTCTTGCGAATTTTCACTGTATTTTCACCATTAAATTTGCATGCTTTATGCAGTAGAAAATTCTTTCGCTGGCTTAGTCCTTCACAGCTTGTGACTTAATAAATTTCTAATATTTTATAACGGTATTTATGTGTTTCGCTTACACTGCTAAGAACTGGCTTTTCACACACTTTTGCTGCTGCATGAAAATTTTTTCAGCTGCGACTTCTGCTCGAATTAGGGCAACTTTACGCTGCAGCGCAAATAATTTTTGCTGCTGCGTTTGCAGCTTTTCACTTAATAGATATTTTCTTGCACTGATTTTCCAAACTTTTGCATGCGGTTTTGTATTAATGAGCAAAAATTTCAATTTCTATTGCCTTTTATTGCTTGTGTGTGTGCGTATTTGTTGAGGAAAAATCCGCTTTTCTATGCTGACACTATTTTTTTGGTATTTTTTTTTTGTTTTTTTGCTTTTTGTTCACTGCTCTGCTTTAGTCACACACACGGCCACGCAGCGCAAACACGAACGAACCTTTCTCAACGGCAGCGGATACAAGTCTGAAAGGTGCAGACTTTCTCCAGGCCATCGTAGTTAACGTCGTCGTCGTCGTCGTCTTCGTTGTCGCTGTGAGCTTTTTCGGTATGCGCCTGTTAGCCGACCTTTCCGAATCGATACGACAACAGCGCATTGGAACGCGACGCCACGCGATGCTTTTGACTCTTATTCGCTTTCGCTCAATGTTTTGTTGACTGTTTCATGCTTCGTTGTTTTACATCATTATTTCATTGTTGTTGTTGTTGCGTTTGTTTTGCGCCGATTTGTTTGCTCTTGTGTTCGCCTGCTTTTGCTTCCACATTATCCTGCGCTTTGTTTTAATCCTTTTCTTTCGGCGCACAAAAGCGCACTCGTGTCCGTCGTACCGTTATTTACATACAGCCACATTCCTCAAATACTTCACTCACCAACTCGTACGTTCTTCCATACTTCCGTTGTCGCTCTCTCCTAAATATACATTTTCCGTTTTTGCTTCCGCTTAATACTAAACGCGTCCTTTTCGCTGTCGTTTATGGCAGCGCCTTTGTTTATACCGCATTTTTCATGGGCTAATCAGACACATATCCGGCATGCAGTTTTCATTTCCGCCTCATATTAAACTTCACACACATTTGCACGTGCAAAGTGGCTGAGTGAATTTATGTATAGATTTGGTGTGTACGGAAGGGTAACCACTTAAATGCTTTAATTGGCACTTTTTCGTTATATCGTGGACAATTTGTTCACTGGCTTTTTTAACTGATTAGATGGTTGTCTTAAGGGATTATATCCACTTGCAAGTCAGTAATTTTTATGAATTTTATATTTTTACGAGTCATTTTTACAGGCGGACCTCTGGTGTCTAACGGTGAGAAAGATTTTTCTGCATAAAATTATCTCAAATCCCAACACCAAAAAAAAAAAATTTACTATTACTATAGATGAAAACAGGTAATGACCGAACGACTAGTAAAAATTTTAATTTTTGACAAAAGGGCGCATTCCTCAAAAAAAAGCAAGTATTTTTTTGATAGTGGCTTAAAAATCAAAAATCATATTTCTTGGATCATTACCTCACAAGTCGATCGATACAAGAGATTCGGAGAAATTTTCCTCAAGCACTCTGAAAGAGAAACGTGTTTAAAGTTTTGGGAATCGATTACACTAACTTTACACATTTTTCGAAATACGCTCATATCTCCGAAATTGTTTGCCAGCTCACAAATTTAAAATCAACATATCTTTACTATTGTTGGTTTAACATGTTTTTGCACCACTTTATATAAACATTTGTTATGTTCCTTAAACTAACGTCTCTTTTGACTCGTAAAACTGTAAGTACCAGTGTGTGGAGCTCTAAATAATATTATATATGGGAAAATCAGCAAACACAACACCTTTCAAACCTTTCGAAATGTCTGACATTTCTCCTCTCTCCCACAATTGCAGTTGTCCAACATACAATCTCTAAATTCTTAGTCGCACTCTTAAATTCTAGAAGTATGATTGAGCAGTGATTCAATTACTCCTTCAATTCTTCATCTAGATCTCTGTCCGTCGTCCAATGTTGTATTTTCAGCTTTCAGAACGAGATTTCGTTGATTTTATACACTTTTGTACAAAGACCGGCCCTGCCTACAAGTATTAGAACCTACATATATGTATATGTACTGTACTATACCTATTACTTCATCACTCTCAGGAGACATGCATACAAATGAACAAAGGTATGTAAGTATTGTTAAAGACACGTCTACGGTAACATTGTCCAAAATTATTCTATGCGGTTGCACGCAATCTACATCCCTTTCTTTTTAATATAATCTTCTCCTATTAAATATTCCGACACACGCCACTGTTTTTTCTTCTTACCGGCTATACATTCAACAATGCCTACAAAACAGCTGATGCCACCAAAACAGTAGAAAAGAGTTTATAAACAAAACAAAGACTGTTGATTGTCTTTGCTGTAAAATTTTTTTGGTTTTGTTATCTACGAATTTATAGCTGATAGCAATTTTCTATAACTATATATATAATATTGCACTTATAGAATAATTAATAATAGAATTATTAATTTAAATAAAATGACAGCTGTGCTTGGCGCTGGCATGAGTGGCCTATCGGCTGCTTATTATTTTCTTCAGAGGTTTGGATATCCTGCAACCGTATATGAGGCGTCCCATCGCGTAGGTGGCTGGATACGCACCGAGAGGCATAAAGACAAGGGCTTCATGTTCGAGATGGGTCCACGTACCATTCGTCCAAAGGGTGTTCAAGGCGCAAATACATTACAATTAATAGAGGAATTGAAATTGGCGGTGGATCCGATTAAGTCGTGGCAACCGGCCGCTAAAAATCGTTTGATATATGCTAAAGGTCAATTGTGCTTGCTGCCGAATAGCCTAGGTGGAATTTTCAAAACATTGCCACCATTCTCAAAACCACTAATAAGTCAAATTAAACAGGATTTGGTAGCCGGTCAGAAGAAATTGAAGCTTGCTGATGAATCAATTTATGATTTTGTTGAAAGACGTTTCGGTGCTGAATTGGCCAATTATGCCATTAGTCCATTAATATGTGGAATTTGTGCAGGTGATGCAAAAGAAATAAGTGTGCGTTTTCTAATGAATGACTTATTCGAAAAAGAACAAAAGTGGGGTGGCATCATAAAAGGCTTAATATATGAAAAACTATTTGGAAATAAGGACAAAACGGCTGCCGCAGGCTTATTTGCGGATTCAATGCCAAAACTTTATGAGAAATCGCAGAAGGAGAAATGGAGTATGTATAGAGTACCAGATGGCTTGGATACACTACCACGCACATTACGTAACTACTTACAAGACAAAGAGGTTGATATTCAACTAACATCGGAATGCCGGGAAATCACATTCACACGTGATGGTGTTAGGATGAATATCAAAGGTCATGAGGTGGAACCAATGCATATTATTTCAACAATTCCAACTCATAAATTGGCAACCTGTGTGAAAAATCAACATCCCTCTTTGTCAGCATTACTTATGGCTATACCATACGTTGATGTGGCTGTCGTCAACTTACAATATAATATTAAGGATTTACTTAAGATGAAAGCGTTTGGTTTTTTGGTGCCACCCATTGAGCGTATTCCAATACTTGGCGTTATCTTTGACAGTTGTTGTTTCGATATGGAAGGCAATACGATACTTACGGTTATGATGGGCGGGCGTTGGTTTGAGGAGAATTTCGGCAAGGACCCAACACCGAAAAAGCTACTGGATACAGCATTGCAATATTTGGATTTAATAATGGGTATATCAGAAGAACCACGTTTAACACGTGTTCACGTATTAAGGAAATGTATACCGCAATATACGGTGGGGCATACGCAACGGGTGTCAGATATACGAAGATATATCAAACACTATAAACTGCCATTGACATTATGTGGTGCAGCATACGATGGAGTTGGTATAAACGATGTTATACTATCAGCACGAACGCAGGTGGAATCTTTGGATGCTAAAATTGTTTGAACTTAATTAGTAGCGCAGTGTGGTAGTATATTGTTAAACAATTTTCTATTAATTTATATTGAATTTGTATTATCCAAAAACAAAAACGATTTTAACAGTGTAAAACAACTGTGTTTCATCTTATTTGCCAAAGCCACCACGACAGTTTGGACTAGATTCTACAGTGTAATTAGGATGCCACTGTTCGGGAGTTTTAGCCTCTATAGATAACGCATGAACAAAATTACCAGCTAATTTCTCTTTCACAATTGAGTTCACCAAACGGTGGCGCTGTAATTACAAAGTAGAAAAATTTAGTTGTGAAGAAAACTTCAGAAAATCGCAAAATATACCTTTATTAAAGACAGCTCGTCAAATTTATCAGATACTACCAACACTTTGAAATGTGTTTCCGAACCTTTCGGTACGTTGTGCATATAGGACTCGTTGATCACTTCCAAGTGCAAAGGTGATAATTGCTCTGTAAGTGCGCCTCGTATTGCTGACTCAATTGGTGCGATTTGAGGTGTTGCAGACATTCTATGCAATTGAGCCGATCTTAATGTTACTAGAAGAAAGCAGAAGCTATATATTTATTTAGAAGTTTGCGTTTTAAAATCTTACTTACAAGTAGCGCTTCGAAAAACGTTCATAACTGTGATTGTATTACTTTTTATTTATTTTTAATCCCAGTAATAATGCCAATCAGCTGTTTTTGTTTTCTTTATTAATGCCCAAACTATGTGGCCACCTAAGAATTTATGATATAAATATTAAAATAATTTGTTACAACTTCTAACAGTGCAATATGTTTCTATAACAAATAAAATTGAAATTACAATAACATGCCAACATTTATTTATTATCTCTACTATAAATAAGAGTCGACATATTGTAATCAAGTAAAATATAAGCAGAGAACGTAAATTAATTCATTTACGTTCTCTGATAGAAGCTCATTATATTATTATTGGGTAACGCTAGTCCCCAGCAGATGGCGCTTTCGGAATTAACTTCTCTCAGGTGGCAGCATCATTTTCACCTGAGATCTTCCTGTCAATTTGACAATTTTCCATTAATATTCTCTTTAAACTCCTTCGTATTGTGCCAATTTTTTGGAAATATTTCTCTGTTTTTCGCATTTTGAACCAGCAAAATTATAGATTTTATAGTAAGTGCAACAGGTAAAGAGAGTTAGTTAAATAAGTAAACGATCTGCTGTTTTAAGTGAAAGATGTGTTAAGAAAGTCTCAAAAAAGTCAATGCTATACTTTTCTTTAGAGCGACAACGGAAGCATAAAAAATCTTGATTTTTGCCAAATTAGGTTGTTAATCACGAAGATCACAAATCAGCTCTTACCAACTTTGCTAAACCACAAGTCGGTCAATACGAAGGCGAATGAAAAGCAGTTGGCTAATAAACGTGCTGTGTGTTAGTTGAATTGTGCCAAGCGTGTTGATCAAACAAGTGCAAACATTTTTTTTTTTTGAATTAGCTGCCTTTATTGCAATTAAGTGAACGCCCATAATGCCGCCTGTGCAGTAAGAAATTTATAGTTACTTGTATATAAGACATGCATAAATATGTATAACGACAACCTTAATACTACAAATAACAAGTTTAACTTTTTCAATTGGAGCACAAGCGTATGTCAAGCATTTCATATCGTTGATTGTCTGCATTCCAATAGATTTCATTCATTTGCTTATTATGAATGACACCCATGGTACTTAAGGCGTACGGTTTTGAACTTTAACTTAATATCAAGAGTAGAGTTGGATAGTTCGAATATAAATGTATATATTTTCGATGTTAAAAATGCTGGTGCTAATTTGAATTAAAAAATATTTATATAGCATATTCAAAAATTCTATCTTACGCGAGATTTGTTCATCAATGACGTCATCCACCAACACAATTCTATTTATAGTGAGATAATTTAATGTTTTTGTTTTACGAACGCAGCGCCACAGCTTTGGGTAGCTACATACAGCGTTTGTTGATCGTTGTTGAAAAATTTACAAAATAAATATATTTATGCATATTATAACTATTCAAGGCTTAATTTTCGTAGTATGTAAATATGTTTTTTTTAATGTAATAGCAGATTAGGTAAAACAATTGCTTTATCTTTCTTACAAACTTTTATTTGGGTTTGAAAATAACTTGCAACACTAGAACATAACCAGGAAGCTTACGTAGATTTTAGAATATTAATGTGGGTTTAATACCGATTTAGTCATATCCGTCTGTCTGTAAATATGCTAACTAGTTCCCTTAGTTTTTGAGATATTGATCTTCGTCCTTTTCTCCCTTCTCTTATATACGTATGAACATGGAGATGTGCGTTTATATATTATGTATTCATGCACATGATTTAGCGAGCCAGGAGAAAACATTTTATTAATAAATTAATCTCTGAATATCTGTTTTTGTCAGTTTTATTATTATTTTAATAAAGCCAAACATGACACGATCTAATTCGTTCTATACGAATAACGTGATTCATGGTATATGCAATACAAACATACATTTATACTTGTGCTCGAATTGAGAAACATTTGTGGTCTGTTACAGTAAAAATATGTTTCAGTAGGTATTCATTGAACATCTGCCAATTTATGAGTAATCTCCCCACAAGCAGAAGACACACTATGATCATTCATATACACATACATTTGTAGTTAATACAGAAAGCGTCTTTCTGACTTGCGTTCATGCATAAAACATATCTCTACATAGGTTTACACACTTTCTGTGCCCTTTCATTGCTTCTGTATGGTAATAAATTATGCTGTAGCTTATGCGAGTATAAAAGACTTCATTTATATATCTTTCACGCTTGCCCCAATTGCTGCTTCAACACAACGATATCGTGTGAGTTATTTTTTCTATTTGCAATATGCCTTACGGTCACGCCATTACGTGCTGCACACGTTCATTTCCACTATTCTAGCACACCTTCAGTTTGCCCTGATTTTCTTACTACACATTTAGTGGGCGAACTACTTTCAATCTCAAAAGCGCTCGCAAAATCAGAACATTTTCATCAATTAATAAAAATTATTCAAATCATCTATGTAGTAGATTGGTGTTAATGGTGGTGATGCAATTGTTTTAGTTACCTGTGCATTAATCTCGCATTTTTAACAAATAATGTGTTGTATTCAATAATTTACGGTGTACATGTAAGAGTTTATAGTAAAATATATTGAAGTGTGCTGGCAAAAGATATCCAGATATTATATTTATCACATAAAACATCTAAAAAGAAATAATTTAATATGTGAGTAATTTGTAAGTGATTTTTATCGTAATTGTAGTAAAGCATAAACAATTTAATATGCCTTAATACAGATGGTGATTGATCCGCGAACCGAGTCGAACTATTTGGAAAATGTTTTATGCTGCTACAACATCAACATCCGCGAATCAATTAGTGAAAGTACTGATACCCGTGATTTAGTGAAAGTGTTCAGAATAGTTGGTCAACAAGAAAACAAAAGCACTTTGTTAGTTATTATTTAAATTCATCAAGTTATTTATGCATTTGATAAATCGAGCGTTTCAAAACATTTGTATATGTGTGTCCTCTGCTATTGTTTTCAAATTATGGAGGCATATCAAGCTTATCGGTTTGTACAACTTTATGCGCATACTTGTGTATATATGAGAGTGCAAGCAGAAATACTGTAAGCTTTCAAAGCAAAAATAAATGCGATCAAGTTTAAGGCCAGTCTTTACGGAGATCGTACCGTTGCATTGGACAATAATAAGCGCCAAATTTCGTGAAAATTTCTTATCAATAAAAAAGTTTCACTTACAATGCCATGTTTTTAATCGTATATTTTATAGAGTCTCCGACGTGTTAAAACTTCGTTGCAAACTTAATATCCTCTGTTAAGGGTATAAATATACAAATTTTATGCACGACGTAAAGAATAATGAATCATTAAACGCGAAAAAAACGTTTTGATAAAAAAAAGAGTTTTCATGAGTTGAAATCGCCAACTGAGCTACAAACAGCTTAGTGTAATTTGAGCATTGAAAGTGTACATATTGAAATTTGAAATAACTCAGGATGTCTTTAAAAATGGAAATGTATTTTTAATGCAAAACTATAATAACTCAATATTCCCATAATAGTAATATGTTTTTTTTTCAATTTATTACCTTTCAGAATACAAGCAGCTGACATGTCGCTAGCTGCAATGCATTGTGCCCGTTGTGCGGACGGCTTCGAACCCAACGAGAAGATCGTCAACTCCAATGGTGAACTCTGGCACACACAATGCTTCGTGTAGGTTGCAAAATTTGCAAGTTATTTTATTAACAATTTAATATTTAAAAAATTTCTTGCCCACTTTGCAGCTGTGCGCAATGCTTTCGCCCTTTCGAGGATGGCATCTTCTATGAATTCGAAGGACGCAAATACTGCGAACGTGATTTTCATGTGCTCTTCGCACCGTGTTGCAATAAGTGTGGTGAATTCGTGATCGGGCGTGTTATCAAGGCGATGGGCGCTAGCTGGCATCCACAGTGCTTCCGTTGTCAAATGTGTGCCAAAGAGCTGGCCGATACCGGTTTCATACGCAATCAAAATCGTGCCTTATGCCATGAGTGCAATGCCAAAGTGAAGGCCGAGATAACGGGTCGTTATATGTGTCATAAATGCCAGTAAGTTGTATGAAAACGCAGCAAGCAATTGCAAGCGTTTGTGACGTATACATTTTTGTTGTGCCATTACAATTTTTCACTTTTTTTTATCAAACTGGTTTTTATATGCATCTTTTACATACGAGTATATATATACATATATATTTGTTTCCTTTTAGTGGCGTCATTGACGATGCACCATTGCGTTTCCGTGGCGAAGTCTACCATGGTTATCACTTTAACTGTACGTCGTGTGGCGTGGAATTGGACTCAACCGCGCGCGAAGTCAAGAGTCGACCTGGCTTAACGGCCAATGATATGGTAAAATTTTGATAAATCGAAATTCAATACAAATATAAAAATGCTAAATATATTTCAACTTGCTATACACATTTTTAGAACGAATTATACTGCTTGCGCTGCCACGACAAGATGGGCATACCGATTTGCGGCGCTTGTCGTCGTCCGATTGAGGAGCGCGTTGTCACCGCTCTGGGTAAACATTGGCACGTCGAGGTACATGATTGGCATGAAGTTATCACTTTACATATATTTAACTAATCTGTTATTATTTTGGTTTTCAGCACTTCGTATGCGCCAAATGCGAGAAGCCTTTCTTAGGCCATCGTCACTACGAGAAGCGTGGTTTGGCATATTGCGAAACACATTATCACCAATTGTTCGGCAATTTGTGCTTCGTTTGCAATCAAGTCATAGCTGGCGATGGTAAGTTCTTTCATTTTTTTTATTTGCTCTAACACAAAAAATTCACCACAACGTGTTTTTTTGCACAGTATTCACAGCGCTAAATAAGGCCTGGTGTGTGCACCATTTCGCTTGCTCGATATGCGATATGAAAATGACGCAGAAATCGAAATTCTACGAATATGATGAGAAGCCAGTTTGCAAGAAATGCTATGAACGTTTCCCCAACGAATTGAGGCAACGTTTGCGCAAAGCACATGAAATGTCGATGAAGAAGAACTTCTAAATATCTGCGTGAAATGCTTATAACAATTAGAACAATACATTTTGAATGCAACGTTCTATTACGCAATGATTACTATATGCAAAGTGAGGCCAAAAAAGTCATAAAGCAAGGCATAAATGATAATTAAAATTTTGAAGACTAACTAATCCGTTGGCCGACGTTGAAAAATGCATTAACTAAGTGCCTGTAAACGATATTTTTTGTATTTATAATACGGACACTGTTATATTGCCATTATAGCCACTGTCTGAATACAAAACACATGCACAATACATACATATTTATGTGTGCCTAGTAAAAGCAACAACTAATAGTCAGTAATATTAACATGTACAGTAACTTTTTTATTCAGAAGTCAGTAGCTTGCGCGTGCGTATATATAATTTGCAGCGCTCTTTTAAAGTATACAGTTTACAAACAGCTTCCTAAACAATTTATTGTATTAAATAAGTGTTTTGTAAATGCAAACATATCCGAATAAAAGAATAAAATTGTATCTCTAATTATAAGGCGAAAATTTACTACTGCCAACCTCTTGACATCACTTTTAGTCTACGAGTACATACAAGTATAATATTTTGTGTTGTCCAACAGCAATGTCTGTCTGCCCTCTTATTGTATATGTGTCAATGCTGTTGTGCCTTTTACTCAGCCGCTAACTTGAATAAGTAATTTTTATAAAATTTAGTTTTATTGTTTTTTTTTTTTAAATATATCGTAATATTTTCGACCCCAAGTGTATCTGTTGTAATTTATGTAATAAATTTAAACTCTTCTGCAGCTAACATAATATTAATAGTGTACGCAATATTTGCTACAATATTTGTAAAGCATTTCGTACAATTATTTAACAATAATTACAATTAATTAGCATTTTGTTTTTATGTAATAATTTTTTATTTGTAATATCGTACAATAATGTGTGTTGTTTATTTAAATGTAAATGCTAAAGCGAACCGATTTATATGTTGGAAATAATGTAATAGAAACATGAATACAGCTGATTATAACAATGACTAAATAATGTTTTATTTATTGTGTTATTTTAGATTTAATAGATTAATTTTAGCATTACTGAAACGCTAAAAATAAATAAAGCAGTCTTAAAAGTAAGTCTTAAAAATATTTTCTTTACTTTAACATATTATTACATTATCCATCAGCACCAGGGTTGCGAATTATTAATTGATTCAAAAATTTTGGATTGAAAATCAGATTTCCAACTTGTAAGCTCAAAATCTTGGATCTTGGATAAAAAATAAATTTAGAATTAGTAATTAAAATGCAAATTTAATTTTGAATCCCAAACATCTTTGATTAAAAATAGAAAATTTAAATTTTTAATTTAATAGTAAAAATTAATGACTGAAAATTGAATTTTTAATTTAATAGTAAAAATTAATGACTGAAAATTGAATTTTTAATCCCAAAAGTCTTGCATTAAAATTGAAGAAAACATTTTTCAATTTAAAATTGGGAGTACCAAAAAAAAAAAAAATCGAATTAAAAGCCGGAATGAAAAGGAATAAAAAAGTTAAGATTTACATATTTCTTACTGAAAGACCACAATAAAAAGCAATTTAATGTAAATTGCACAAAAATAAAAAAAGTTTGTTGATGTTTCATTAAAGATAAGCTTTCCTTTTCAAAAAATAACCAAAAACTCGAAACAATTTAAATTCTAAAACAATTTTATTTTCTTATTTCTTAATTATAAGCTTGGGATTAAATTTTTATTTCTTAATCCCAAATTGAGATTACACATCATTTTAAAATTTTCAATCCGGTATTTGGCATTATAAATTTAAAACTTTTTGTAATTAAGATTTTCGGGATTACAAAATAAAAGGAAAATTATTTCAAAAGTTAATTAAATTATTTTTTAATGCATTCCTTGTAACCCTGATTACCACACATAACTTTTGCCGCATTAAATATTTACTTTTAATATTGCTAATTAACTTTTAATTGAATGGATGTAACATACATATAAGCATATAAGCAAGTGTAATAACCATTTATGCTCGTTAAAAGCCTAATAATATACAACACAAACTAAAGTAGGCAGACTCGTTTGTTGTTATTGCACTTTTTTACAATTTACGTTTGAATATCTCATATAAAATACAACAGCAGACGAATATAAACAATTTTGAAATTAAGTACAATAAAAGAGTAGCAAAAGTACATATATGTACATACATCTGTTCATGTATATACATACATATGCACATATGTAGCCAAACTTAACCAATATTCCTAACTTCCAACTTTTTTGACACACAAAGCTTAGTTTTAATTTTTGCTCATTAATTCCTTTTCATTTAAGCTTATTCCGTCAATTTCTTTAGTAAATCTTCCAATAATCCTAAGTCCCTTACCGCAATTAAACCATTTCTGTTACATTTAGTATTGTCCACTTCGTTACTAACTTCCTGATAGCAAAGTGGTATTGGCTTGCACTCACTGATACTTCCCCGATAACTGTAAATGTCACCACCTAATGAACGTAATATAGCTTGTGGCGCACAAGTATCCCATTTGAATGTGGAACCTTTGCTCAACAAATACAAATCTACTTCCCAGGTAATAACTTTCAACGCTTTATGACCTGCACCCGCAGCAAATGCAAATTCATAACCTAACTCCATAATGCGTTGGAGAATATCACCATTTTCCGAACTGGAGAATATGCCCAGTCGATTATCACGCGCTGGTCGCTCAAATTGACAATTATTGGCTTGTAAATTCGGTAGGCATACGCCCCAAAATATTAACGAACGATATAGGTTTTCATCCAGTTTGTTGTGGAAGGGTTGTGATACAACACCAATCACAGGTGTGCCAGTAGTGCGATCGTAGACGCCCACTAGCACGGTAACACAGTCTAAGCCAGTTGAAGTAATTCCTGGAAAGTCGGTGAAAATGCTATCACCAGATATATACTCGGCAGTGCCATCTGTATTAAATGTATTTTTTTAATCAAATATTTATTATTTTTTATTGTAAATAAATGAAAACTTGCCAATTGGATCAATCCATATGCCCAAATTGCCGTAGTCTAAGTCCTCAGGTAGTGCTGGTATTTCGCCTAAAAGTGCTTCTTCGTATATAACCTCGCGATGGACTTCATTGGCGAGCACTTCCGCCGCTTCAACTGCAGGCAAAATAATATTTACATATGGTAATGTTAATATAAAAAAAAATCACTCTACCGTTCAGTATTGCACCCAGACATTGCGCTGTTTCCTCAGCAGTCTCACCAACTGCAATAGTCACTGACTCGCCATCTACATTAGTAAAATTTGGTGACTCTTCGCCGTTAATAGCTTCGCGCATCGCAGGAAACTTGAATAATGTGTAACATACAACAATATACTATTTCAAGCATGCGACTAATATTATGAACTTACCAACGCACCAATATCATGTTTGATAGTCTCTTGTATGAGCACATCTGCGAGTGTTTTGAAATCATGCTCGAAGCGCGCATTCGCTTCCGGTCCAGTCTTTTCTTGTACCAATAACTTCAGCAGCGCCTCGTTGGAGCGACACACACGCGCTATATTAGCGGCCTTTTCCGACGCATTAATGAGTTGCTGCACAAGATTTAGCTCCATTTTTTTAATATTGGTTATGGAATATATATGGCAGTGTTTGTCGGATGAAAAGATTTCTTATTTTCTAAAATTTGATAGTTTTCTTAATTTAATTAGTGTTATAATATGCAGACAAAATTGTATAGATGTTGCTACTGTCCCAGTCAAACACTTTTTTATTAATGCGAGAATTCGTAAGCGAATTTTTGTATGGCCTCTTCTTTTTCTTATTTTTTGTTTATAAAGAATATGTATTCACATTTGCATGGAAGTGTATAAATATATACGGCACAGTGTTTCCTTTAATATAGCCCTGATTGCGTTCAATTATTGTACAAGACGTGCCTAATAAACTATTGCCTATTTTTAGGCGAGCTAACTAGTGTTATAAAATGGTCAGGATAATATTCAACGTTAAAAAATATAGTTGCCAGTGTGTTATAAAATTTACCATTTTGTGACAAATTTAATTACGTTCTTATATTAAAATTAATAGTGTGCCAAAATTTAGTTACTACTTATTATGTTTTATGAAATAACGATATATATCACACCTTTTTTCATACTGCCGTATAAAAATATGCACATATTTGCTTTTTTGTTTTAATGAATAAATATTATTTAAATTGGTTTTCTCTCAAATATTAAGAGCTTCGTATTTTGAGTACATTAAAAGTTTTTAAAATTTTTAAAATTATTTAAACTTTCCATTTCAGCTCAGTCTGGTAGTACTACATTAGGAAGTGTCTGGTGATTTTTTATCGTACTTATTGTCAATTTTCTATTTATTTTTTGCTGTTGCGTTATCAATATATTTTCATCGGTGTTTCTGTTTTTATACATGCCTCCAAAAAACATGGAATTTGTATAATCACACCCCCACTGTATAAACATAACTAAGAAAAAACAATGTATCAACGCGCAAACGCCTCTTATCGCTCGTATTTATACAAATCTGTGTGAAATTGTGTGTGTTGGTGCTCTCGTGGCAACCACAGCGGTTAGGGCTATTATATAGTATTTTAGAATTGGAGCCTCTGACTCCAGTTCTCATTTTGCTTTCGTCTACTAACAACGTCGCGTAAATCGTGTTCCTATTGCGTCGTTATTTGTCGGTAACGTCGGTGCAGTTGATTTTCTTTTGTCCAGTCTGGTTTTCAGATGTACATCACATTCGCTTGTCATCTTATTTCAAAAACTGTTTTTATGTAAAGTTTATTTATTGCTTGAATATAAGTATGTACATTTGTATGCACAATTGCTCAATCAAAAGTTCAGCTACGTAAATGCGAGTAAATACATAACATCCGTTAAGCAGTGATATTAGTTAATATGTGCTACAGGAAGTCACCGCCCACACAAATTATTTCCAATAGTACACCCACCATACAAAGGCTTATCAATTTTATTGTGCAGTTTTAAAAAGTGCTTTCTACGATTTTGCTTTTTTTTGTTGTGTGAAGATACGATTTTGGCCGTGATTCAATCTGAAACTTGAAACGTGACGTTTGTAGAATATAATATAAGTATACCTTAAGCGTGATTTTAAAATAGTTGTAATGTGCTGGCGTGTAAAAGCATAGCTGTTTCTGGTTTATTTACTTGCAAATTTACACTAAAAAAATCGGTTGTGACAACATTGCCTTCACATTGAAACGGATTTGCTGTTTGCGAGCTTATCGAGGACGTATGTGCGACAACGGAAGTGCAGGCTCTTTCAAGTGGGTATACGTGTGTCCGTACGCCTAAGCGTCTCGAGTGTTTGCTCCACACACATTTTGTTTGTTGGCCACACAAATTGCAACCGACCCACCACCTTAACCACCAATACTAAATAAACGACCTACAATACTGACGTAGAAAGGCATTAAAGAAGAATATCGGTCCCACATAATTATTTGCATTTAAATTAAATTGAATTTTACTACACGCATTGAAAAAAGCTAAAACATGGATTTGAAGTTCGTCAATGTCATTATATTGGGCTTCGGCTTTATGTTCGTATTCACAGCCTTCCAAACTATGGGTAACATTGAGGTAAGCATGTGTTGCAGTTGCTTCAAATAGGTCTTCATGTACAGATGTGCTCGTGGAGATGTACTATATAAAAATATTTGTATGTAACCATATCCTTGACTTTAATTGCGCGCATCCTTGGCATACACGAAGGACGATGAATGTTGTCTGTTGTTGGCCATTGGTGCATATGTGTTGGATGTGTGTGGGTGCTGTTACTGTCGAAGCCACTATATTGTAAAATCGACAAAAGGAATAAAACTGTTGTATAAAGATGTATTTACGTATTGTATCTTTAAGCGTAGTCTACTGAAGTTAGTTTATCATAACACGAAGGTCATGGGGTCGTTCTATACATTACATATTAACCTTATTTTTATACAATGCCAAATCGGCTAAATCTTTTTCGCCTCGTAAAGTCCATTAGTCATTAATGGAAAGCATACAAAATATACATCTAAATTGAAAAAGGCGTTATTATGCGCGCACGAGCAAACATTTGCGGCTACATGTATCTACATATATAATATAATGTGTCTATGTATAACCTTTTTTATTTAATCGTACATATTTACGGCTCTTGTTTATAAATGTAGTTACTTATAGAAAAAGGAGCGCCAAGAATCCGTACTTTTATTATAATAGGTTATTTGCTTGCGTAAATCGATTGATGTATGTGTGTGTGTGCATTTGAGTGGGTGTTTAACAAGCTCTGCCAGCCTTGTCTGCTTAAGATGGAATAGTAACGGTATCGCCCACTTTTTGTCTGCTAAAATAAATACTTAGAAGTACAAGTGCGCCATTATTTATTTGTCTTGATTCTGTGGCCGAGTGAAAGTTGCGCATACATGTACAGGTTGGTTGAAAAATTTCTGCTCTCACCAAGAAATAGCACTACTGCTCTAAATTTTTTTTCTCAAGTTGGTACGTCTGTCGTTATTGTCATTCTGACAAATAATTATTTCTTTACAAGCCATTTGAAGTGATGCGTCAACTTTTATTTAATATGGAAAAAATTGAATATCGCGCAGTGATTGGATACTTTGTTTTGAATGTTATAAAAGCAAAGGAAATTTATGAACAATTGTTAGAAGTGTATAAGGAGCTCTCACCTTCAAAACACACCGTTGAATTTTGGGCTGGTGAATTTAAATGTTGTCGTACTAGGCTTGTAGACGATCCACGTGAAAGACGACCAAAAACCGCAACCTCACCAGCAATAATTAATCAAGTTCATAAATTGATTAGTGAAGATCCAAGTTTGACCATAGTATGAAATCTCAGACGGACGAGTACTTAATATTTTGCATGGAGAGTTACATATGGAAAAGCTATTTGGAAAGTTGGTGCCGCAAACGTTAACAATTCAGACCTGTTTTGCAGCAAAAAAAAATAATAATTTTTCATCAAAACAATGCACCTTTTCACAAAGCTGTTTTAACAATAAACGAATTGCATGAGCAACCACCGTGTTCACCAGATTTGGCTCATAGCGACTACTACCTCTTCAGAAACCTGAAACAATTCCTTCCAGATATTTTGCAGAGCTTCCGGAAAGTCATTATAGGGATGTCATCAAATTATTTTAGAATCATTGCAATAAGTGGATTGAAGTTAAGGAAGATTATATTGAATAAAAAAATATATTTCGTACCAAACAAAATTTTTTTTCATATCAAGCGAAGAAACCTTTCAACCAACCTGTATGTATGTATGTCTTCTATGCTTGTTAGTACATAAGTGAGTATGTGTGACACGGTAGTAATTTTAATACAGTAATTGAATTCTATGGCCTTTAATTTAATATTCTTGAATGAATGGTTGTGGAAAACAAATAAACTTCATACAAAATGAGCAAATATAAACTGAAAAGTACTTTGAAATAGCAATGGGTTGAGTGTTGTGGAGGGTTCGTGCTCATACGCTAAATTTAAACTTTTTTTTGCTTAAATAGATAAATTTTAAATTTTGAAAAGCCCGCTTACTTACGAATTAGAAAAAATTTTATTTGTACTAAAATGTATAAAAAAAATACTTTTAGATGTTACTATAATATCAAAAACTTTCAGAAAATCCTTTTGAAAATTTAATCTTGATCGTTTGTATCGTGGATGTAAACTAAAACAAAAAAAAAAAAAAAGAAACAAGAAAAACGTTAACTTCGGCTGCACCGAAGCTATAATATCCTTCACAGGTATATTTTTATAGCATACAAGTATATAGAAAGATCTTGAATCTGATTTTGATCGGTCAGTTCGATGGCAGCTATAAATTATAACGCCCGATCTGAACAATATGTTCGAAAATTGTCTTGCCTTGGTTATAATTTATGCCAAATTTTATGAAGCTACCTTGACAAATAAAAGAGTTTTCACACAAGGGCTTGAGTTTGATCGGTCAGTTTGTATGACAGCTTTGTGTGTATATGCTATAGTTTTCCGATATCGGCGGTTCCGACAAATGAGCAGCTTCTTGATGAGAAAAGGAAGTGTACAACATTTCAGACCAATATCTCAACAACTGAGAGACTACATTGCGTATATACAGACGAACAGATAGACGGATAATCTGAAGCGTTTTAATTATAAGTGTATTTTAATAGTTTACATGCATAGAAATTGGTTGTAATAATTAGTTATAGACTATTTACTTCGATTTACGCATATCTTTCAAAAGTTCTGATTACTACTTATAAGCGAATATGTATTTCATTTATGTACATAACTATGTCTGTACATATTCAATTCATAATTGATGAAGATCTACAATACAGCTACATTTCCGTTATTTCCTATTACACTCAGTACTACCTTATCACCAATATTGATTTTTTTTCTTCACCCAAGACAATGTTGACCTAAATAGTAACTAATTATGCCGAATAGAATTTGCTGCTTCATTATTACAGTTTTTAATAAATACTTGTAAGTTTCCCAGTCACGCGAGGAGTGCTGAAGTTGTGTGAAGATGACACGCATTGTAATGTTGAAAAAAGCTTATAGCACAATTTCTAATTTTAAAATATGAAAAATCTCAAAACGTTTAATATATCTAGTAATAGAAATAATCAATAAAATTTTTTTTTTAATTCTTACGTATAAACTTATTTACGCATATAGATAAATATTTTATGTTGAATGGCGGGTATAAAGCTTATATTTTCTGAAATATGTGGTATAGGTGTGGTGTGCCAACTGTTTGTATGAAAGTCGCTCGTGGACTAAGTAAGCGTATATTAGCGCAAAACTAAAAATATTTTACCGTTAATAACACTATTTTTGTTATTGTAGTATCAATTCATATTCCAGATTCCACCTTTGGATTTCTCGTGGAATGTTTGAATATGAGCGCTTTTGAGTAATAATTTCAAATGCTTTTTGGGCTATGGAAATTTTGCAAAACTCTAAAAGCTGTTTGCAATCATGCGAAATTTGCTTATCAAACGCATATGTACACACAAAAGCATATCATCTGTTATTATAATTATCGGCACTTCACGCTGCTGTGCAAGGATATAAACTAATTTCGATATGCCATAAATATAATATTTACAACCAATTAATAGCCGTTATATTTCCTGTGATATTGCCTTATCATAGTGTACATACATATCATATGTATGTAGTATATATTAGGGTAGAGCGAAAGAAAATAATTTTTTTCCAAAAATTTTATTTTTTTATATTCTAGAAATTTTAACCTCAGGCTAAGCAATAAAAAAAAAAATTGTTTTTCGCTCCACCCTTGTACATATGTACTTATGTACATGTTTTTTAACAGTTTTTTTTCTAAAAAAGTTATTAATTGTATTTGAATTAAGTTACATAGCTCTTGTAAATATAACATAAAATCAGATATCGGAATAATTTATACAAAATACATGAGCATTATCAGCACTTTTGGGAACTTATAGTAAAAATTCTAATTTTACTAAATATAATCGCAACTCCCTCCAAAAATCAACCGATCATATTTTACTGTTCCATAAATCGATAAAATTTTTCTTAGTTTGGTACAACCTTTTTTAATGTTCGTGTGAAGTTTGATCGCCATATATGTATCAGTTAGCGTGTGTTTGGCAGTTGTTTGTTTACGACTCGAAAAATATGTCTGGCGATTTTTACCATGGAAAATAAACTTAACAACTTGCAAAAGAATTTTGGAGAGATTACTTTATCACGTACACAAGTATTTGAGTTGCACAAAGCGTTCAGTGAAGGTCGTGAAGTTATCGAAAACTTGCTTCATGCGAGAAAACCATCCACATCTATTAATGACAATAACATTGAAAAAGTTAAAGACACAGCGTTGAAAATCGTTGTGTTGACATCAGAGAGATATGAAAGGATCTCAAGATCGCAGCTGAGAACCCTACATTCATTAAACGCATCATTACTAGTGACGTGACGTGGGTTTCTGAATATGACATCAAAAAATTAGTCGAGCCTTAAAAAAACCAAAACTCGCTAATGACATCAGTGGCGTAGCAAAGGGGGCTAGCAGAAGCGGGCCGCACCGGCTGTCACCTTTTTTGCGGTTTTTTATAGTTTATTGTAGAATGTGATTTTAAAGAATCTCTTCCAAATTTTATGATTGCGCTGAAATTGTTCATGACGGTTTGCGTGCCCGTATTTTAATGTGAGAGGAATTTCAGTATATTAAAATTAATAAAAAACTATTTGCGGGCAACAATGACCCAATCGCGGCAAGCAATCTTGGTATATTAGCCATCGAACACGGCAATAGAAAATATAAATTTCGATGAAGTTATTGCTGAGTTGGCAGCTGCCAAAGCCAGAAAGAAGAAATTTTAATTGTATAACAATTCCTTTTTTGTCTTAATTATTATTGTATTTTGTTATTGCTTTAAAATTATAAATAATAAATGAATTATGCCCTTCATCATATAACATTTATTGCTTTTTACTTTCTTTGGCGGGACACCTCAAACTTCCGCACCGGATGCCACCCAAGGTAGCTACGCCACTGAAAGACACTGAAGGCCATCCCAGCCGATACTT